TTCTGTGACCCTGAGCGCGGACATGAGAGGGGCTGCCAAGTCCAGTGGAGGTCAGACGGGCAGGGGAGGTGCTGCAGAGGGACTGGGCCTGAGACACAGATCTCGGCCAAGCGGCAGAGTAGCCTTCTCCAAAGGCACTGCGCCACCTGCCGCCAGTGGCTGCAGGAGGGGAATGAGTGGTGTCGGCAGGAAAGGGCCGGAGGCATCGTCATGGTGCGATGAGATGTTCTGAGTCCTGATCCCAGGGTTTGTTGCTCGGCTGTACTACATACATGTGTACAATTCACCCGTCTTGTGCACGTGTTCAGTTTATTGCTTCCCAACTTCAAATTCACCTTTCTTTGCTTTGTTTGTGATTCTTGAATTAGATACTGTGAACATTTTTTCCTTTTCATTACGTGTCATGTTGTCCCAAAGTTTCCTTATGGTATCCTCGTTATTTGCAAGTGTTTTTTTTTTTGCTGCTGTAATTTTTTTTCCTTGTCTTCTAAGTTACTGATTCGAAACTCTGCTTCATCCATTCTACTTTTAATTCCTTCCAATACATTCTTGACCTGAGGCCTGATGCAGGAAATTCATGCAAGAGCAGGCCTTCCTTCCCTGGCTGCTGGCACCGGACTCCCTCTGGCACCAGGACCCGGGCTTCCCTCTGGCCGCTGGCAGGCACTCGGGACCCACGCTTCCCTCATAGCCCTGCTTCATCCAGAAGGAAGGTTGTCTGGTCTAATTAGCTTTTATTATTATAGATGTTAGGTATACTGCTCTTCAGTATTCTTATTCATGGTTTCTCTTTCCTTGTTCATGCTGTTTTGTTCCTACGTTTCTTCTAATTCTTAGTTCCAAACCATGACTTTGAACTCACTATCTGATAAATTGCTTGCCTCCATTTCATTTAGCTTTTTTTCTGGAGATTCCTCCGGTGTTTCATTTGGGGCCTGTTTGATCGCTTCCCTGTTTTGGGTGCCTCTTTGTTTGCTTCTGTTGTTAGATAGCTCTGCTGTGATCCCTGCTCTTCGTTTGTGGCTTATGTAGCAGGTGTCCTGTGGCACCCAGAGCTGGATGCTTAGGAATGTCCCTTGTGTGTGGGTAATTGGGTCTTGATTGCTGTTGGCCTGTTCGTGTTTCGGATTGACCCTCAGGGTGGCTGACTGTGAGGCTCAACTCTGACCGTGTCGCATACATTGTACAGGTGCTGACAGAACAAAACAAGACAAAGTAAAGCAAGAAAAACAAAACAAAACCCCACTACCACCACCACCAACAAAAAGACTAAGGAGAAGAAAGAAAGGATAATAAAAGACAAAAGAATAAAAGAAGAAAAAGTATGAAAGGAAAGAATAACAAAGATTAGGAAAAGAAAACTAGGAAAAAGGTGTAAAACAAAAAAGAAAGGAAATAAAGTTAGAAAGGAAAGAGAAATATGAAATATTAAGGAAAAAAGAAGGAAAAAAAGATGCAAAAAAGAATAACAAAAAGGAAATAGTGACAAAAGAAAAGAAAAGTGAACGTGCCGAGTCCCGCTCTTGCTGTGGAGGCTGCCATTTGGCTAACGGTCCCTGGCTGCCGGCTCCCTGCAGCTGCCCCGCCCAGCGCGGCTGCCGGGAAGACCTCACTGACGTCCTCCCATCCCGTCAGAGGGCCGCGTTGCCAGGGAGGGTCTCACGAGGCAGCACGTTAGTGTCAGATGCTCAGGAATAGTATTTTCTCCTTTTCTGTTCGCAGAGGTGCGGGTAATTTGGGACCTACATTGAACCACTTCATACGAACTTTGTCCTTCGTTTACTTGCATTGGTTTCAGGTCTCGAACACTGAGGGGGGAGGGGCCTGGATAATCGGGGGAAAAAGGTGGATCCCTTCTTTATATCTTATGCCACTAAGTGTAGCCAGATCAGAATTTTACTAGCAAAATATGAAGCCATAAGACAACTAAAAGAAAACATGGGACATGCTTGAAAAAAGTAATTTGACTGGGTGAGGTCTAAGGATGATGTATAATCCCAAAACTCAAAATTCGCAGTATCAAAGACAAAGAACTTGGGAAGACTATTCGTAATACAAAGGGCTAATTTTTAAAATATAATGTATAAGAAGTGATTCTAAATTAAAAAGCAAAATGCTGCCCGTAGATCTCAGGAAATGAATGACAGCTTTTACTTGGGGGGCGGGAGGGTATCTTTTCTTTCTTCCCTTTTTTGGTTTGTGTGACTCTAGAAGCTTTTGGAATATGAGAAAATTTCTAGTTTTGATTCCCTTGGTGATTGTTAATTATAAGGACAGTATTTTTTTAATGTTATAACCATAAACTACCAATACAGAAAACCTTACCAAACAAATACAGCTTGATGAGTTATAAGGTACTTTTATCATTACCACCCACACCAAGAAATAGAACTTAGCCAGCCATGTTCCTCGTCCTACTCACAACTTCCTTATGATTTTCCACTGTAGCTTCTATCTTTTATGGCAGTCATTTCCTTTTCTTTATTGTCTTGTCACTCAAATGTGCATAGATTTGCCTGATTTAATTTCGTTCTGCATGTTATTTTTAAGCCTTTTAAAATGTAGTTTTTCTTTTTTTCCCCCTTGCATCTCTTCTTTTTTTCCTTTAGTGAAGAAATGGGATTCTGTGTATTGTAACATTTCCACAGTTAGGGTTGTGCAGATTGCTTTTCTGTCTTACGGTTTATCATTTTCTCTTCAGAGCTTGTGAATTGGTAGGCTTGATCAGATCCAGGACTTATTTATTTTTTAATTATCTTTTGGCAAGATTGCTTCATGGGTAGTGGTGTGTTCTTTTATCAGAAGCATATAATGCCTGGTTACCTGTTATATTTTGATGCTTATAGCTGTCAAGGCTCAATGTGTAGATCCATTAATTCATTAAGAGGGAGGAATGGTGTTAACTTAAACCATTCTTAGTCATTTATTAGCTGAAATTTTTCTGTAAGAAGAAATTTCTCATCTTGTGTGGGTTACCCGCTGGTGCAGTTTATATTTACCACTTTTCAAAATCGAGTGGTTTTCTATTATTCTTTAGAGGTGACTGCTTAGAGTTTCTCACTGTTATAAACTCCCAGGTTGACCTATTGTATATGTCTCCAGCCATTGTGGTGGTGTCTTTATTGACGCAGATGGCCCATCTTTGGTCAGTGGGAACATCTTTCAAGCTGACGCCTTAGACGTATTTGACATAATGCTAGTAGTTTTTATTTTTATTTTTAAATATTGTATTGATTTTTGTACAGAGAGGAAGGGAGAGAGATAGTTAGAAACATCAATGAGAGAGAGTCATCGATCAGCTGCCTCTTGCACACCCCCTACTGGGGATGTGCCCACAACCAAGGTACATGCCCTTGACCGGAGTCGAACCCGGGGCCCTTCAGTCCCCAAGCTGACGCTCTATCCATTGAGCCGAACCGGTCCCGGCTAATGCTAGTAGTTTTTGATAGCTTCCTTGACATCTAGAAACTACAGGTGTTCCAAGTCTATCTGTATATTTATCTCCAGACCTGAGGCAGTCCTTTCTTCAACCTGGTTTCTTTTCATAAGAATTGGTACGAGTATTTCAAGAATACAATTTATGTATCAGGCATGTGCTCATTGCTACTGGGTTTGTTTTCAAACTTTTTTTGTGAATGAGGTTAGGAAATACAAAGGGGTGTGTGTGTGTGTATTTTGTAAAAGATAAGATACCTTCTGAATTAATATTTCCAAATTCATAGCATTTTAACCTTTTTTGTCTTTCATCTGTATTCTTTCTTCCATTTTTGAATCTTGATTTTTAAGGATCTAAGGGGATGGTAGAATTCAAATATCACATAATTACTCATTTGCATTATTCCACATTTGTGCATACAATAGCCTTAGTTAACAAAAGCAAGTATCACCACAATATGATTACTGGATAATTACTTTTTTGCATATGTTCTCTTGATTTTTCATAGTTGTACTATATCTGAATCGTCAGAACATATAGCCATTATGTGTTCTATTCTTTCCCTTATTGCCTTTGTTTGTTCTACAAGTAAATATCTATTTACTGCTCACTTCAGTTCTTACGTTAGTCATTTTGGATATGTGATGCTTGTTCTCTAATAGGCTCTGATTCCCTTTTTCCATTTTGATAACACTTTGAAGTCTTTATAGTTGAAATTTAACTGAGTATAAAATCTTTGGCTTATGTCTTCTATCTTCAAGTCTTAAATACATTACTTCCCCCCCCCATCATAAAGTGTTGCTGTCAGTGATGACAATCTGATTTTATTTTCCATATAAAATATCATTTTTTTGGCGTGGGTGCTCAGAATATTTTTTCACTGTTAAGTTTAGTAATTTTATTAAGTGTGTCTTAGCGTTGGTTATTCTGGGTTGAATTTTGTTAAGCGTGTGGTGTGACCTTTCATTTGATCTTTATTTTTTTTAAGTACAGAAAATGGTTCCCTTTCCCCTTGTGTTAATTGTCTTGTGTTTTCAGTCTCTGTACTGTGCTCTTATCGCATTGGTATTGACCTTTATGAACTTACTGCATTATGATAGAGTGTGCATACTAATTGGATGCAACTTTCCCCTTAACTTTATAGAGCATTTTTCCGTGTGTTTAATAGCATTTTTAGTCATAGATATTAGTCATTAGAACTTTAAATATTTTCTTGAAAGTAATTGAATAGATCTTTTCTCCTCCTCCTCCTCCTCCTCCTCCTCCTCACATGCCCTTGACTGGAATTGAACCCTGGAAACTTTGGTCCGTAGTCTGATGCTTTAACTACTGAGCCAAACCGGCCAAACCACTGCTTTGCTCTGTTTCATTTTATTTATTTTCTCTCCAAAATTAAGAGATAATCCAAGAGGATTATAAATTAGGACAAATGTTCTTTAAGTTTTGGAGTTAACAAGAATTTGAATAGTACCTGTCATTCACAGAAGCTTTCCTTTGTGGGGATGTTTAGGACACTTCTGGGATTATAATCTTAACTGTTGCTTTGTTTTATATTTTAGTGAAAATGCCTCGTGTAAAAGCAGCTCAAGCTGGAAGACAGGGCCCCGCAAAGAGACGTCTTGCAGAACAATTTGCAGCTGGGGAGGTAATCACCGACTTGGCAAAAAAGGAGTGGAAACTAGGATTACCCATTGGCCAAGGTGGCTTTGGTTGTATCTATCTTGGTAGGTGGATGACTACTTCTAATGAACCGTCAAGCCAAAGATTTATGTGCTCTCATATCGAAATAGTTTCTCCATTATGAGCTATTACAGGAAGTTTTTAATAATACAGTCTACTTAATACATGCCTGGGCAAAAATGCATCTCTGGCCAGAGTGGGAGAGAAGATGGTTGACTTAGTCACAATAGAAAGAGTATGAAGTGTCTATAATATTGTCATTAGTGAGCACCGTGGCTTTGGATTTTTAAGGATTCCACATAATATTAACTTTTTTAAGATGCAAAGAAATTGATGTACATTTTTTCCCCTACCTCCACCCAATTAGGATTTACTCCCTCTGTTTTGGTTTAGTTTGGCAATTTTCAGATCTTAACAGTTATATGTTTTTATTTCCTTCCTATACAACCCTAATAAGTTATAACTGTGGAATTAGGAGAATGACCTAGAAATTCATATTAGCATATTTACCTTGAAATTTGGGGGGACCTCCTGTGGAACCCTGAGAGTCTGTAGGTTAACTAAGTTGTTGATTTAAAAAATATCTTACCTGACTCCTTTTCAAGTTGTCTGCTTCACCAAGACTATTACAGTGATACTCACACTTCATGCTTGCTTTTGATACTTCTAACGTTTCTGTGTTCTTATTCCACCTCTAATCTCGATTGAGCTAGTTCATCATTTAATTATTCAATTTCTGCCTGGAGATTTATAAAATGTTGCTTTTAGTAGGGGAACCCTGTTTCTCTTTGAAGGAGTATCTTTCTCAGAATACTAATGCTGCAGTTAGATTAGCATCACGTGGAAACCTGTTTGGACTGCCCGTTCTCAGGTCCCACCCAGACCTGCCAGTCAGTAACCAGAGGGCCCATGCACACTGAAGCTGAGAGCCCCGACATCAGAGAGCAGCTGCGTCTCCTCCCGGACCCCGGCTGCAGTGGGCCAGCCGCGCTCTGGGGGGTGGTCAGGAAACAGCTAAAAATCACTGCTTTGCTATGTTTCATAAACAGGATTCCTGTAGGTCAGAGGGAAATAGGTGTTGATTCTTTAGTTTTGTTCAGAGCCAAACCCATCCCAGTGAACCAGGCTATCTCTGACTTAAGGCGAAAATCCTTGCAAACCATGCAAGGCTAGAGGCTTTTTCAGTCAGGCCCATATTGTTTGTCCTTGTCACTTAGAGATGGTGATCATTAGTCTGTCTCGCGGCAGACTGTGGTTAGGCCGTCCCACAGTAGGAACGGGAGCTTGTCTTTAACAAGCTGGTTCTTAATTTTCATTAGTCACTTCGCTTTAGTAACCTTTGGCAAACACGGAACTTGCTTTTGCATGTGTGCTAGCTATGTTGTTCGTATTTGTATTTATCATCAGAAAGTGCCATTTAGTAGTAGTTTTCATATTTGATGGTGTGAAAGATTTCTGTGACAGCTTCACTGCTGTAAGCCTGGGTTGATCTCTCTGGAGAAGGGTTTGCCTTAATGCTGCTCCGCTTCTCCACATGACTGCCCGACCGAGGACCCTCAGCAGTTTCCGCCCAGGAGTTAAACAAGCTGCCTTTGAATTTTCTTTGGGTGTTTTCTCGGTACTGTTTATCTTTTACACAGAGAAATCGCTTCCATCGTCTTCATGACAACCTACCTTCCCCTCTGGTCTTCCTCCCTCTCGACGTGGTTCGTCATTCTCCAGCTTTCCTTCTTCGGCTCACCTTTTTCTAATTTATTTTTTATTTTATTTATTTATTTATTTTTTATGGATTTCAGAGACGAAGGGAGAGGGAGAGAGAAACATCAGTGATGAGAGAAAATCATTGATTGGCTGCCTCCTGCACACTCAACTGGTGATAGAGCCCGCAATCCAGGCATGTGCCTTTGTCTGTAATTGAACCCGGGACCCTTCAGTCTGCAAGCCAAATCTCTATCCATTGAGCCAAAGCGGCTAGGGCTGTGGCCCACCTTTCCTCTGCATATTCTCTCTGAGGGATCTCCTCCAGTCTCGCAGCTTCTCTGACTGACCCTTTACTGTTGATTACCAAATCTCAGTCTGATCTTGCCAGTCCTCTTCTCGAAAGCTTCGCTCGGTAGCCTAGGACTTGACCCCGACAGTGCAGGCCCACGGCCAGTGGCCTACACAGGGGTCTCTACCTGATGTCCCAGGAGAGGGTTATCTGCATGGATTCACCCTCCCAGGCAGACATTCTCCAGTGCTCCTGCGCTAACACCCCGCGTGCCTCCTCCAGTTCTGTGCTTCACCTGAGCGCCTCCCCAGATCCTTCATTTCTCCCTCCCTTTGCTGCCACTGCCTTATTAGGGGAGGTCATTTTCTTGTCTCGTCTGGGTTCTCACTGTGGCGATGAGTCCTCTGTTTAGTCTTGTCCCTTTGCATCTCCTGTTCGCATTGGGGCTTAAGTGACCCAGACTGCCAATCAGATCACATGACCTTCCATTTAGATGTGCTTTAATGTCTCCTGGTGCCCTCAGGACAGAGTGACAAAGTTTGGGAATGGCATACAGACCCTTCTGGTTCCACAGTAACTGTCTTCATCCCTTTATCCTCACAGGCTGTGCTTCAGCTGTGACGTTGCCTTTGGCCTCTTGGTTTTTGTATGTGATGCTGCTTTTGTGGCGATTTGCCAAAGCTGAGGTTAGGGTAGGCGCTGTCTTTTTATGGTCCCTGTGTCCTGTGTCCATCCTTTCATAGTACATCCCTTGCTGTGTTGAAATTACTTTTCCTCCTTCCAGAATAAACATAGGCTTTTTGTTGTTTTGTTAATCCTCACCAGAGGATATTTTTTCCATTGATATTTATTTATTTATTTATTTATTTATTTATTTATTTATTTATTTATTTATTTATTTTTAGAGAGAATGGGGGTGGGGGGACAGATATCATTGTGAGAGAGACACAAGAATTGGTTGTCTTCTGAACACACCTGATCAGGGCTGGAGATCAAACCTGCAACCCAGGTACATGCCCTTGACCTAGGAATTACACCCACAATTCTTTTGTGCGTGAGATGGTGCTCTAACCACTGAACACACCAGCCAGGGTTCAACGTGTGCTTTTTTAAATTTATTTTTTATTTTTTAATTAAAAAATATATATTTTATTGATTTTGTACAGAGAGGAAGGGAGAGAGATAGAGAGTTAGAAACATCGATGAGAAAGAGTCATTGATCAGCTGCCTCTTGCACACCCCCTACTGGGGATATGCCCGCAACCAAGGTACATGCCTTTGCCCGGAATTGAACCTGGGACCCTTCAGTCCCCAAGCCGATGCTCTATCCATTGAGCCAAACCGGTCTCGGCTAAATGGGGCGACCAGGCCTGTAGGGGGTGCATTTAGGGGCTACCAGGCCAGCAGAGGGGAGCAGAGAAGGGTAACCAGGGTAGTGAGGGGGCGAACAGGCTGGCGGGGGGTGGAGGGCCAGTTAGGGGTGTTAGTTAGGGGTGACCAGGCCTGCAAGGGGGCCAGTAAGGGGCCACCAGGCTGGCATGGGGGGGCAGTTAGGGGTGACCAGGCTGGCAGGGGGCCAGTTAGGGGCAATCAGGCGAGCAGGGAGGTGAGCAGTTAGGAGCCAGTGGTATCGGATTATGAGAGGGTTGTCCGACTGCCGGTTTAGGTCCGATTCCCAGGAGCAAACGTAATCCGGCAGTTGAATATCCCCTGAGGGGTCCCGGATTGGAGAGGGTGCAGGCTGGTCTGAGGCCCCCCTCATCTCCTGCCGCGCACGAATTTTGTGCACTGGGCCTCTAGTTTATATATACAGTATATTCATTTATTTTTGTTGTTTTGTGAAGCCTCACCAAGGATATTTTTTCCATTGACTTTTAGAGAGAGAGTAGAGAAGGAGGGAAGGGGGGGGGGGGAGAAGAAACATTGATGTGAGAGAAATACATTGATTGGTTGCCTCCTACACACGCCTCAACCTGGGATGGGGATTGAACCTGCAACCCAGGTATGTGCCTTTGATCAGGAATTGAACGTCCGATCTACCCTTTGGTGCATAGGCCGACACACTAACCACTTGCTTTATTAAATGTAAGAAATTGCATCAGTTATTACCTTGGGAATTCTTAACATATGTTAACATACCTAAGACCATGCATACTTTCAAATTAAAAGTTTAACGTAGAGTTTTTCATACTAAACAGATGATCATATTGAAGATACCAGCCATTATAAGATATATTCCAATTTCAGACATGTTAAAACATTAAAAAAATTAATCTTAAAGTTGATGATGTACACTATATTGGTATGCTGAAACACTGTGTATTTGGGAACTGAAATTTATTCTCTCAAGGAATTATAATACAGACCTAGGTGTTAATAAAGAGCAATAGGCTATGTATTACAACGTGCTTCTTGTTCTGATGTTACATATGTCACTTTTTTCAAACAGCTGACAAGAATTCTTCAAAATCGGTGGGCAGTGATGCACCCTATGTTGTAAAAGTGGTAAGAAAATGTTTTTCCTTTTTTGTTGATTTAGTGTAGGACTGTGTTTATTTTGCAAAACATCCTCTTTGATAACTAGAATTAAAAAAGGTATTACATTTTTAATAATATTAATAAATATTTAATGAGGCACAAAGTAGTTTTACAGTTTTAAATAATTTGAATTAAGAAAGTCTGTCTCCTGTTTTGAAGTAGAGTGGCACTAGTATTTGGGAGTATTTGGGAGGAAATGAGTGAAAGCATAGAGGCATGCAGATGGAGACTGAAAATATTCCGCTCATTCTTTTTTTTTTTTTTTTTTTTTAAATATATTTTATTGATTTTTACAGAGAGGAAGGGAGAGAGATACAGAGTTAGAAACATCGATGAGAGAGAGACATCGATCAGCTGCCTCTTGCACACCCCCTACTGGGGATATGCCCGCAACCAAGGTACATGCCCTTGACCGGAATCGAACCCGGGACCCTTCAGTCCCCAAGTCGACGCTCTATTCATTGAGCCAAACCGGTCCTGGCCTGCTCATTCTTTTCATTTTAGCTATATTTACAGGAGATGAGATGCTCTTTTATACTTATGTCCTATAAGACTATACTCTCTTAATGAAATTTAATTTGCATTTGCTTCTGAAGTACTTGATCAGTTACTTCTGTGTATTTTCAGTTTTCTTTCCTTCCCCTTCTATTTTAGTAAATTAAATTGTGATCATTTTGAATTTTCTTTTGGCTATGAGAACATTGAAAGTATTTTGTAACTAAAGGCCTGATGCACAAAATTTGTGCAAGGGTAGGCCTTCCTTCCCCAGGCTGCCAGCTTTGCTGCCCCAGCCTCTGCCCGCACCTGCCTTGGCCTGGTGCTGCCAATGTCTGCTGCCAACCCTCCCTCCCCCCCTCCCCAGTTCTGCGGAGTCCCCTAATCAATTGCCCTGCAGAGGGCAGCCTGGGCCTCCCTCTTTGGGGCAGTTGCGGCACCTGCTCCACCATCCCTTTCCTGTGTGTGCCCCTGGTTGTTCGGTTGTTCTGCCATTTGGTCTATTTGCATATTAGGGTTTTATAATATATAGAGAGAGTAAAGGTTGATAACCTTCTAACATAAGCACACTTGAGTAGCCAGGCCAATTTATATACTGGTGCATTAAAAGACATTTTAACTGCTCTTTATTTGTTATCAATATATTATGCTTTTATTTTTTCTTACCAACATTTGTGACTTCCTTCTCTCAGAATTCTTTCAGACATTATAGGGCATGTTTTTGTTACATAGAGGAGATAGCAGTACCTGGGACCCTTCAGTCCGCAGGCTGATGCTCTACCACCGAGCCAAACCGGTTTCGACTGGAAATAGGTTTTTATCTACATGTGGAACTGCTGGTTCATAGGGAAGGTGCTGTTTAATGTGACATTAGCTTTAAAAGCATATCAGACCGTGGCTCTCAGCTCCACTTGTACAGTGCCACCTGAATCTCTGGATGCAGGGCCTGGTGAGGAAGGCTCCAGAGGAGGCTTCTGTGCGGCAGTTGGAAACACTGGGAGGTCTGGCGCACAGAGCAGCTAATTGTGTCCCGTGGAACCATGTGTGCGTGCTCACGTTTATCTTTGTTTGGGGATCCTTTTTCTTTAACCCTCACCCAAGGGCATGCTTGGAGGTAGGGAAGGAAAGAGAGAGGAAGAGAGGAAAGGAAGGAAGTGGGAGAGAGAGACATAGCCATCAATTGTTTGCCTTCTGTATGTGCCCTGCCCGGGGATCCAGGCGGCCACCTTTTGGTGCACAGCTCAGTGCTCAACCCACGGAGCCCTGCGGCGGGGCGGGGCCGCTCAGTCAGCGGGGCTTCCCCTCCCGGGCAGACTGGGCCTGAGTGTGATGCTGCCAACTGCACACCTGCTCCATGGCAGAGCCCTGAATAGGTAGCCCTCACGCCGCTTACAGTTAACTGAGTGAAGTTAAGAAATACATGCTCAAGATGGATGTTTAGGTAAATGCTAAACCGATTCTTTCTTCCACCAAATGAGCGTGTCTGGTTCAGAACCTTAATCCTGTTGACCTGAGGCAGTGGTCGGCAAACCACGTCTCGTGAGCCACATGCGGCTCTTTGGCCCCTTGAGTGTGGCTCTTCCACAAAATACCACGTGCAGACGTGCATGTAGAATGTGATGGAAACTATGTGGCCCATGAGCAGAAGTCGGTTTTTGGCCTGGGCGAGTGTATTTTGAAGAAGTGGAGTTAGAACACTCAAGGGGCCAAAGAGCCGCATGTGGCTCGCAAGCCGCGGTTTGCCGACTACTGGTCCTGTGGGAGCCGCCGAGGATCATGGTGCTGGGTCAGAGGTGGCAAACTTGTATTTCCACTGAAGATAAGGGAGGTACTCTCGTTTTAATTCCGGAAAGTAAATGGTAAAATTGATAATAAATTGGATAACCAAGGGGAAAAATTCTCTATTGTGATTTCTTGCTAACAGATTTAATAATTAGTTCTGTCAGTTACACCTCCCTAAGCGAGAGAGGACTGGTAGTGAGGTCAGGCTTTGGGGCCCTGGGGCCTAACAGTTTTTATGTCATGGTCACTTCCCGGTATGCACTGGTAGAAGCCTGCGTTTTTAAGTTCCTGGGAAGAATTTTGCAGACTGATGTTTAAGTTCCTCACTGATGTTATAAGGAGTGACCTGAATTTCCAATTCATATATCAGGATTTTTTGGTAGGAAGGAGAAATTTCATGTAGCTTCATTTTTAAATGGCAGCCAGTTGCTTTTAGATGGTGCCATTGAAATGTATCACATTTTAATTTTTTTCTGTTGTCATCTTCATTTTGACACTTAAAAGTCTTAAAGAAACGTTTAGTGATATTCTAGTTAAAATGTCAGCCCTGATTTTTTCCCTAAATCTTGGCTATTACAGAGTTGGCAAAGTATTTTAGATTTGAAATATGTTAATAAAATTTTAGTTGGGAGTTAAGGTAGTTTCTTCAACAGCAACAGCAAGCTCTGGCTAGAGTGCAGTGCCAGAAAGTAGCTCCTTTATTTTGTTTGGAATCTTGCTGGATTAGAAAAGTGAACTGAGCTCAGAGAGCCTTCACCACAGTGCGGCTTTTATATAATAGCCTGATTTTATAGGCTGATTCTCGTTATTATAAGTTTAATAAATTGTTGCCTGAAGGAAAGCCTGAAATTAAAGTTATGACACGGGTTGAAATTGAATAAATTAGAGTTTTATACTGATGAATAATAAGCTGGGATTTGTCGTAGGAAAACCATTTTCAAACCTGGATTATATTAATGAGCTGTTTTAAAAGTTCGCCTTTGGAGAGGAACTTTACCAAAATTCTTCCCCTTGAATTTCCATTTCTTCGTGTCCTACACTGTGCTCAGCCCTGAGCTCTGAACAGGCACGTGTGTGTCCAGCTTCCTTTGCTGCTAGGAAATGAGCCCCAGGTTCCGGTGACACCTGAGGCACTGAGCCTGGGCATCAGTGACTTGGCCTTCCCCCTGCAGCTTCTCAGAGGTGATGCCATTCTCCCAGGCTGGCTGGGGAGGTAGCTGAGCGGTAGCACCCAGGCCAGGCATTTGCTGCTGAGGCTCAGTCTTAGCTCGTCCCGCCTGACTGCAGACTGGCTTAGTAGTTTTCCTGTAAGTACTTGAACTTGGATTCCTGTTTTTCTGAATAAGAGAAATCTGAGATACTAGAGCTGTGCGTCTAGAGTGGTTTTATTTATTATTTTTTTAAATCCTCACCTGAGGATATTTTTTTCTCCATTGACTTCTAGAGAAAGTGGAAGGGAGGGAGGAGAGGGAGAGAAAGAGAGAGAAACATCAACTGGTTACCTCCAGCACATGCCCCTACTGGGGCTGGAGAACCTGCAACCAAGGTACGTGCCCTTGACCGGAATCGAACCAGAGACCCTTCAGTCTGAGGGCCAACACTAACCACTGAGGCAAACCAGCCAAGGCCAATTTTTTTTTTTTTTTTTTTTAATCTCCTTGAGGATATGTTTTTATTGATTTTAGAGAGGAGAGGAGGGGAGGGGAGGGGAAGACAGGAGGGGGGGGAAAAGAGGTGGGGGAGAGAGAGAGAGAGAGAGAGAGAGAGAAGAGAGAAATAGGAGGAGGGAGGAGAGAGAGAGAGAGAGAGAGAGAGAGACACCAATGTGAGAGAGAAACATTGACCAGTTGCCTCCTGTATGTACCATCACCAGGAATCAAACTGCACCTGACCAGCATTTGAGCTGTAAACCTGCTGAGCCACCGGCCAGCGCTCCTCTTGGCTTTGCATTGTCACGTGGGAAGTAAATTGTAGGGCCTTTAGTTTGCTACGTGGAATCAGCGTCCGAAAGGAGAGGCTGCTGTTAAATGGCCAGTATTTGCTCTCTGCAGTTCCAGAACATTCTTCACGGGAAGGCCGGCTTATTATCTGTCCCGATAAACTATGTGTATTTGTCAGAAGAAACACAAAAGGAATGGGGTTGGTGCCACTAATTGGCTTAAGTGGGTTGTTGACATTTTATTGAATCTCAGAAATAGTTGTAGCCTCTCGGTGAAACAATTAACATGGTTGGTTGCTCATCTTTCCTTAAAAGAAAGCTAAATAAAGACAAAAATAAATTGAAAGATTTTTCTTAAACTTTTGCAAAGACTGAGCCATATGTCTAATTTTGTATAATTTATCACTTAAAGAATTGGAACTGGAGAGAAATAAAATATAGACTTTTCTGAGAATATTTGAAACATTTCTAAAGAGTTTGAATTAATCTTAAATATAGTTATAAACTTATGTTTCAAAACTACATTGTTTGATAAGAAAAATTGAAAGTCTGCTTTGAAAATTTGCTGCAATAACAGTAATTGTGACAACTGCTGGTACTAACTGATGCCTGTGTTTCAAGGAACCCAGTGACAATGGACCTCTTTTCACTGAATTAAAGTTCTACCAGCGAGCGGCCAAACCAGAGCAAAGTAAGAACCAGCGCCTGCGTGTGCACTCCCCGTGACCACCGCTTGTTTCGCTTGCTTACGCTAAGATTAGGACATTGCACCTCATATTAAGATTCTTTGTTACTTTATAAGTATGTTCTATTTACATGAGGTTTGTGTGAAAGAATTCTGATCTCTTAATGATTTAGTATAAGATTTTACCTGTATTGATATATAGACTAAAGTTAGTAATGAGGTATAATTTAGAAAATGTTAAACATTGAGAAAAAAACTCTAATCCATGAGTATGGCTCAAGGATCTCTGAATCTTTCTGGAGATATATATATATATATATATATATATATATATATATATATATATATAAATTTTTTTTTTTTTTTTTACATAACCAGGGGTGGGGTTGGGATGTCATAATGGATGATGAACAGAGCAGATGGTTGAGGTAAGGGGCAGGGCCTCTTCTAGCTACTCTAGACCCTTCCCTCTCTTCCTTCCTCTGCCCTCCCTCCTTTCTCTTCTCCTCCCCTATCCTCTCAGCCCACCCCTCCGCTCCTCCTCAGACCCAGGCAGCCTCCCTGCGGGCGGGAATAGGCCTGGCAATCTCAGGGAGGCCTCCCCTCTCTCCCAGAGCTTCCTTTTCTGGGTGTGGGCTCTGAGGATGAGGCATTAAACTTGCAGGCTGGGATGAAAAAGAAGTCTTTCTGTGGGAGCGAGTAAACATTTATGTAATTAAGGATACGAATTGCAACCACAGCTCTGAGGTTTGATATTTTTTTTAAGAATGTCTTCTGCAAATTTTTCATTGTAAAGACAGTGTTTAGGGCAGGATAACAAGATACTGTGGGTTAATAAAAATGTTTCAAATTACTTTTTATGTGGGGGGTCATAAAAGACTCTTTCCTTTATGAATAAATAAAAGTGAAATTTTATTATGCATATAAGTACATTTTTTCTCATAATGATTTAAAAGGATATTTATGTCTAACGGAATTGAAATCACAAGCATCTGTTTTGATTTTTAGTTCGGAAATGGATTCAGACCCACAAACTGAAGTACCTGGGTGTCCCTAAGTATTGGGGGTCTGGCCTACATGATAAAAATGGAAGAAGGTAAAATCACATGTGTTTTGTTTCCCTCTTCTATGTGTTGAGCATTTGCTGTGTAGTTGGTTTAGCCAAGAATTACACTCTGAGCTCTCAGTACCTGCTCGGCCTCCTCCGGGCTGCATGGAGGGAGTGTGCGCGACAGAGGCCAGCACGGGGCTGCGCTGCCCCCTGCCGCCCCTGCTCATTGCTGTGCCCTGTGAGGGCACCGTTCGTCCGGGCCGTGCCCGGTGTGGGAACAGCTGCCTGGAATCCAGATGACGAGCAGGAACAGAGCCAAATGTGCCTGGCATCTTTCTTTCTTTAAAAATAAACAAGCCAACAAAAACTTCCTGTCCTTTATGTAAAATGGATCCCTTTTAATTTGGTATTTCATGTTCGCCGTGTGAGCTGCCCGCAGAGAGGCTTGCTTTTTATGAGGTTTCAGTCTGGCTGGTGAGAACAACGAAATGAAACATGCATGAAACAGTGAGGCAGTTCAGCGCTAATTCTGTGATTCTGACTCCTACGGATCTCGGGGGGGTCAGAGAACGTGGAGAATATTGCTGGCGTAGTAAGAGTCCGAGAAAATCTCCGCAGTTTGATGCATAAACAATATTGTTAAATATTTGAGAGGCACTTGATGGAAGAAGGCTGGAAGCTGAGATTTGAAGAACAGATTTAGTGTGGAAGGGGTTTGAATGTCTTTATCTCCAAATAAAGGAGACATTGACTCAGCTCTCTTACACAATTATCAAGGGCTTACGTTCCCTTTTCTTGCCCTTTTGTCCTTCTCATTCTGGCCCTGTTCCCTGTCATAGGGTCTCAGGTGGCGGCCCATTTCCAGGCCCTGTACACAGATAGTACCCACAGCAGAAATGGGTATTGCTTCTGTGAGCTTCAGTCTCCTGGCCAGGAAAACCCTTGGGAGGCTGGTGGCAGACTTCCTGTCCTGTGTTCTTAGAGTTTCACCTGGTCCTTCTGAAACCAGTTTCCAGCATGCAGGGCGGTCACTGATGGGTGTAGGGAGCACTGGCTGTGGGGGAGGGGATGGGATGCCGAGCCAGCCCTGGGCTCGGGTGGAAAAGGTGGAGTGGAGGTCGGTGTTGGGTGGGAGCCACAGGTCTCCATGGAGGGTCTGATTCTGGAATCATGCCCCTCTTAGGATAGATTATATTTTGTTACGTATGGTTTTGCTGGAACAAGCAGATATTTTTATGGAATTTTCGAGAGAAATAGTATAGATCAAGGATTGACTAAGTTAAAATGGGATAATAGTACTTTATGGAGTTACTGTGAAGATGAAATTGAAATTAATTTGTAAGGGGGTTGTTCTGGCACAGAGTATGTTAGTTGAGCCCTAGCTGGTTTGGCTCAGTGGATAGAGTGTTGGCCTTCAGACTGAAGGGTCCCAGGTTCCATTCCAGTCAAGGGCACATGCCTGGGTTGTGGGCTCGATACTCAGTAGGGGGCGTGCAGGAAGCAGCCGATAAATGGTTCTCTCCCATCAGTGATGTTTTTATCTCTCTCTGAAGTCAATAAAAAGATATTTTAAAAAATGTTAGTTGCAATCATCATACCATTTCCCTCCTTCCCTCCCTTTCCCCCTTCTTCTTTCTTTTCCTCTCTCCCTCTATTCCTTCCTCCCTTTTTTCTTTTGGGTTGGGAATGGTGCTTTTTCTTAAAGATGCCCACACCTTTAAGAAAATCACAGCACATTTTGCCTTTTACAGTCTTACCACTTACTGTGTGATACGCAGAGAGCCAATGAAACAGGGCTGTGTGTGTGGCTCCTGTGAAGTGATCAGGCCTGGGGGGTGGGCTGGTGTCACCGGTTGGCACCAAGGTAGCTGACAGGAGCTGCAGGAGAGAACTCGGCGTGGATCGGAGGTGTGTGGTGCACAGGCTCTCTGGAACCACACGGGTTTACTCCTTAGAGCACCGTTCCCTAGTAGGGCTCTCGCTCCCAGCCTCTTCTGTCACGTGAAGTGGCGGCAAGTGTCTCCTTAAGTGGAGCATTAGTCACCTCTACGGTATTTGTTTTTAGGTTGAATCTCTTGAAAAACAATCATTTTGGTTCTTATAAAAGTACAGATACAGAAATTCTTTTTGTGTGTGTGTGAGAAATCTTTAATTTTCCTTGAAACTGATTTGAATTAAGATGTATATAGTGCTTAAAACAGTATCAGGATTATATAAAAAGGTTATCTGTGATCATTATTAAATTATACTGATTTATATTTTCCCATTATTTGCATTGTTTATCCAAGTTTCCAGGAATTAAGCAATTATGGCTTAGCCCTTTTTCAGACTGTCAGTAGAGGCTGTGTTATTGTTACCCATATATTTTCCTATATAATAAAAGGCTAATATGCAAATTGATTGAACTATAGAATGACCAATTGCTATGACGTGCACTGACCACCGGGGGAAGACGGTTAATGCAGGAGCTGCCCCCTGGTGGTCGGTGCGCTCCCACAGGAGGAGCACCGCTCAGCCAGAAGCTGGGCTCATGGCTGCCGAGCACAGTGGCGGTGGAGGGAGCTTCTGCCTCTGAGGTAGTGCTAAGGATGTCTGACTGCCGGCTTAGCCTGAGGGCTCCCGGACTGCGAGAGGGCGCCCCCTCCTCTTCCCCCTCCCCCTCCCCCCGTGCTTGAATTTTGTGCACTGGGCCTCTAGTTTTATAATAATTGTATACATATCACTTGTTTGTAGCATGTGCCCTTGGTCATGTTGTACAAAGGGAATTGGGCAGTCAGATTTCCTCTTCCCTCTTTATTATCTCAAAGTTCAAGGCATTGGAAACTCTTACATTTTCACTGGCTATTGTATGACTTTGGTCAAATAACTTCACCTCCATAGACATTAGTTACTCATTAAAGATGATCTCTAATTCTATTCTAGTACAAAACTGGGTAGAATTCTAAATTTATTATTTGACTTGTTTTCTTCTTCTTCTTCTTTCGTTGTTGTTGTTGTTAATACTCACCTGAGATATTTTCCATTGATTTTTAGGAAGAGTAGAAGGGACAGGAAGAAACAGAGAGAGAAACATTGATGTGAGAGAAACACATCTGTTGGTTGCCTCCTACATGCGTGCTGACTGGGGCAGGGGATTGAACCTGCAACCCAGGTACATGCCCTTGACTGGTAATTAAACCTGTGCCCCCTCTTTCTGAAGGCTGACACTTTAAACCACTGAGCAACACTGGTCAGGACAAAACCCCCAAATCTTCACTTATTTTCAGAATATTTTTCTCTCTCCAAGTCTTGTCTGTTGAGTATTTAATATAGTTCTTTTGCACGATTTAAACAATCATATTTAATTTATCTATTTAAAAAAATTAAAAAATATATGTTTTTATTGATTTCAGAGAGAAGCAGGGAGAGAGAGAGAGAGAAACATTGGCTGCCTTCTGCGCGTCCCCTACTGGGGATTGAGCCCACAACATGGGCATGTGCCCTGACTGGGAATTGAGTGAGCGACCTCTTGGTGCGTGGGTCACCACCAAACCATTGAGCCACACCAGCTGGGCTGAATTTAGCTATTGATACAGTATCTCTTGTTAGTCTTGATTTAAACAGAATGGTACTAATATTGCTAAAATGTGCCTTAAAAATTGAGAAAAGCTGTCACAGGAAGGAAGCTAATATCCAGAAACGTACATTAACTTTAACTGTTAGAAAAAAACAGTGATTTCTCCCTCAGACCGTGTTGTCCTTACTGTGAGCGGATCTGTTGGGTTCTCTGTGGGCGCGATCTTACATGGCATGTGGCTCCTCTTACTGGCTGAGACCAAGAGGAGGCTCTTGAGAATCACAGTCAGAAGAAACTGTTTCAAATGTTTATCTTGCTTTCCTTTTCTTTCTTCTTGCTTCCAAATGGCCTTGAAAAGCCACTGACAGGAGTCCTCACTGCAAAGCCCGTTTTCCAAGGCTCTGTTTGTCCACTGACGTTTCTTGTTTGTCTCCAGTTACAGGTTTATGATCATGGACCGCTTTGGGAGCGATCTTCAGAAGATATACGAAGCAAACGCCAAAAGGTTTTCTCGGAAAACCGTCTTGCAGCTAAGCTTAAGAATTGTATGTGAGCTACATGTTGTTCCCTGTTTTCCCGGTGAAGCTGTTGTGTTGAAGCTGGTCCTCTGCTGGTGCGTATGTGGTACTGCACTAACTTCCTCTGTGTGTGCTTTCAGCTGGATATTCTGGAATATATCCACGAACATGAGTATGTGCACGGAGACATCAAGGCCTCAAATCTTCTTCTGAGCTGCAAGGATCCCGACCAGGTAGTTTGATAACTTGAACTTCTACTACTTAGAATTAATGTGGCTGCTCTGAACATTCAAACCTATGCAGAAGTTTGACTTTTTCAAGTAGATATGGTAATAATAATATTTTTTCTTGACACTCTTCTCTAGTTAACATTTTACATTGTTGGTGCTATTTGTTGGCACTTTATCAAGTTGGCTCTTTTGCCCTAAATAATATTCAGAAGAAGTGCTTGTGATACAAAATGAATTTCAGATAGCTGTTTGGGGTTGGGAGCTTAAAATTATATGGTGCACCAATGAATTACGTTTGCTTGTCTGCTTTGTCATGTTTTTATTTCCTTTGTTCAAGAAATCTGTCAAATGTAAGTGTTCTGTTGAGAAATTTGGTCTTTAACATGTTGATTATTCAAATCAGTTGGTTTATAGAAATATCGTAGCTGTCTAAATTTGTATGCCCTTAGTGTTTGAAATTTAAATTTGCATTTTTTTTTTTTTTAGTTTATTACATTCCCTTTGTAATTTTTACTTTTTAAGGAAAGAAGAAAAGCTAATGCTATTTTACCTTTATTTGAGTTAGTTTAGTTGCAGTCCAGGGATCTATACAGTTTTTTTATAGCTGTTTCTATGATTTTTGGGAAGTAAGGTTTAGTTGACATTTCCTGTTGGGCTACTGTACTCATTCCATTCTGTATGTTCTCTCTACCAACTTGATCTTGTTTGAGAAGAGATTATTTAAACATCTTAAATGTGTTCATGGCAGTAGTCTGTACTTCATTTTTCTTTTCCTCAAACCCGTCTTTGACTTCTTGCTTATTTTTTCCTTGTAACTTAGGCTCCTCTTTCCTTTTCTATCACTCATGTATTAACTTTCCCTCCCCATCTCCTTTTTGGTGGCCACAGAGCTCTGTATGCAGACAGAAGAAAGCTGCTATACTGAAGCATGGTTGTGCAGAAATCTTAAAGGCAGTCACAGAATTGCCAGCCATTTTGTTTTAGATTAAAAACAAACAAAGCTAAAACCCCCAACGATAAGGATTCTGTTAATTGAAGTAGACTGGACTTATGTAATATAATAAATAGTAGTACAGCCTGTTTCACTTTGCAGTTGACTAAAACATGCTGCCTTTTGTTTCTCGGGAAGTGTGTTTGCAGCCCTCTAATTCTTGGGGCATATGCTTTGGGGGGGATTATTTTTCTAGTATTAGATGTATGTGCTAGTAGATCCATCCCCATATTTTTACTTCACTTCCCTCTTGTGACCAGCTGCATGCATTTGTGAGACAGTTCCCAGAACGAGGAATGTAATAGAGGCTCTGGCAGAGAGAAAGCCCAGGTTATTAGATTTGTATGCTAATCAGACCCACATGTGCATGTACACAGATGTGTGTGTATGTAACATTAAAATGTAGCTTTAATTTTGAAGACTTGTCTTTAATATATAATATTTAAATGTAGATAAGAACCTCATCTAAAAGTTTTTTTTAAATCATAATCTGAAATACTTTTATGAAGTGAATTGATATTTGATTATTTTACAAGTGAAGAAGCAGAGGAATGAAGACAACTAATGGATCATGTATCAACTAAGTTAGCAGGACTATACTAGAGTGTGGCCGTTGTATCTGACATGTACTGATGGTTTGCTTTGTGCTCAGGTTTTTTGTTTTTTCAGACTGTAAGGAGAAATATGGGGTTTATAGTCCTTGCTCATTTGAAGATTAATGAGGAGTATAACATATTTATCCAGAAAGGAATGAAAGTCAGGTGATACTGTCTGTACTGTAGTTACATAGCCATCTGACACTGTCCGTTAAGTAAGGAGTCTTTCAGAAGTAAGCCTTTGCTGTTGTTTGCATACAGGGCGCTGTGGTGTGGTTTTGTAGGGGGATGATCGGTCTCCTGGCTTAAATCTGCGCTCACACATTTATAGGTGTACCTGGTAGATTATGGCCTTGCTTATCGGTACTGCCCAGAAGGGAGCCATAAAGAATACAAGGAAGACCCCAAAAGATGTCACGATGGCACTATTGAATTCACCAGCATCGACGCGCACAATGGCGTGGGTATGTCAGCAGCGGCTGAACAAGGAATACACAGCTAGCTTTTCCCTTGGATTCCTATACGGCTCCCGGTTCTGCATAAGGAGAGGAGGTTGATGAGGCGAAGTGGGACGGGAGGGAGGGAGGCGGACGCCTGAGCAGCCTCTGCGCACTCTGAGCCCGAGCCCCGGCATCTCAGCAGCCAAGTGGCTCCATCGCCTGCAGCGAGTGTTCTGTCCACCTGCTCGCAGCTCAACCAGAATGTTGGTTGTTTTCCCCCTAAAAGTCTAAGTTTTTCATGCAGCTGCAACTTTATAACAGGTAAACTTGTATTTTGTCACCTGTTAATAAGTTGGTCTCTTTCTTCAGCTGTCATTTCTTTTTTCTGTGCCCACTTCTGTGGGGGAGCTAAACCCCCCAGTTCTCTGGGCCTCTGAATAGCTCATAGCATTTTTAATATCTTACATATTAAATGTGGCATTTTATATTTTATTTCCTAGGTTAATAGTCTCAGTTCGAAACTCTGGAGTTTGCCAGTTTGGGTATTTTAAAATAAATTATTAGCCAGGGAGTAAATTATTTCTTTGTACTATCTAATATTCAATACTTTCTTTAAGTGCAGGCAGAATTTTATGAGAAACCAGACTGTCGAGTCGACTGCTTTACCTTATGGCTTATATAGAATTGAAGTTGCACCTTAAAAATGATTTCAGTGCGCTTCATCTGCTGCTTTTGTGCTCACAGCCCCGTCAAGACGTGGCGACCTGGAAATCCTCGGTTACTGCATGGTCCAGTGGCTCAGCGGCCACCTGCCGTGGGAGGATAATTTGAAAGATCCTAACTATGTTAGAGATTCCAAAATCAGGTAAAGGGGACTCACAGATTATTTTGGGAAGCTCATGATAAGACAGATGTTTTTCAGAATTCCTCTACTGGAACTGTAGCTTTAACTGATACTAAAATAGAAACAGGAAAGTACTTGTTAACTAGTAAGGTTTCTTGTTTTTATTTTTTTTATCTATGTTTATATTGACTTCAGAGAAGAAGCGAGAGGGAGCGAGAGATAGAAGCATCACTGGTGAGAGAGAATCATTGATCAACTGCCTCCTGCATGCGTCCTTCTGGGGATCGAACCTGCAGCCCGGGCATGTGCCCTTGACCAGAATCAAACCTGGGAGCCTTCAGTCCACAGGCCAATGCTCTATCCACTGAGCCACACTGGCCAGGGCGGTTTCTTGGTCTTTTGTTCAGTTTATTTTAGAAGAATGTTTGTAAGGATATTTAGGATGTAGCACAGTGCTGCTTAGTGTGCTATTTACTCTTATTAAATATTAATAACTTTCTGTGGCATCAAGCTTCAAACAATGACTCTTTCTTTAATTTTTAACAGATACAGAGAAAACATCGCAGATTTGATGGAGAAATGTTTTCCTGAGAAAAACAAGCCAGGTAGGAAAAGTCTTCTTATATGTTCACCCAGGTTTTGTTTTCTGAAAGTCATGAAGTCCATCGGCTATTCCTTAATGTGAGAGACGGGGTGAAATCATTGAACGGGCCCGCTCCCATCACAAGGGAAGTGGCTGCGGGGATAGTGAGCTCCAGCCAGTGACTGCTTTCAAGAGGGGAGCCACGTTTCATCCTTCGCGCGGCTGTTTCTTTCTTGAGGCTTCGTTGTGTGCCAGGGCCCTTCTTGGCACCAGAGCTGCTCAGTGCACAAAACGTACACACCCTGTCCTCACCAGCTCCGCTCTGTTTGGAGGAGACAGTGAAGAAACGAGTGCAATGCAGCATCTTACGTGGTCGGGGCAACGGACACGAAGAAAGCACAGAGTGGAGCTGGGGAGTGAGGAGGGAGGAGGGCTGGGTTTGAAATAGGCGGGCAGGGACGGCCTCCCTGACCAGGTGCCATGAGCATTGCAGGGAGGAGCTGGGAGGGAGCTCTGGAAGTGGGAAGAGCCTCTTGGGCCAAACTGCCTCAGTTATGGTAGCTTTCTCGTAAGCCTCGCGCCTGGAAGTTTAGGTCGTCCAGCACTGTTCTTTAAACTTGCCTCGCTATGTTGCTGTTCTCGGTCTTTAGCACATCTGCATAAATTTAAGGATCACTTGTCACTTTCGCGCATACCCTCCCCCCCCCAGCCTGCTGGGACCTTGAGTGCAGTTGCATTGACTGTGGACTGACTGGGGGCATAGCATTGTTACAGCATTGAGGCTGCCAGTCTACCAACATGCTAAACCCTCCATTGGATTTCATCTGTTTCTCTTATCTGTGTATTATACTTTCCTCTGCAACAGATCCTCCCCATCTTTCGTTGTGTCTCCTGCTGTTGATGCAATGTTATGGGATATGTATTTTAAAATATTTTCCAATTGCTTGTTGTTAGTATACAGAAATAGAATAGATTTTTATATACTTACCTTGCTTCTGTGACCTTGTTATGTTTACCTATTCTAGTACTTTTAAAAATAGATTCTCTAGGCTATTACATACACTATCATGTTTGTGACTAAACTGTTCTATAACTGCCTTTTGTTTCTTGCCTTACTGTGTTGGCTGAAAGCGCACATGACGATTGTGCTGGACACAGCGGTGAAGGAGTACGGCCTGCCATTTTCCTCTCCGAAAATGTGTGTGATGATGCTTCAGGCTTATAGATCCCCTCCATCAGATTAAGAAACTGAAAAGAGGGTTTTGTTTTATCTCTTTTAACTCATGTATGTCAAGTATCTAGAATCTTACCTGATCCGTAATGGATGTTTAATATGTACTAGTATTTGAGTGAGTGTATGCGTATGCGTGTGCATGCAGCACTCACTGGCAGGAGCCCTGGGTTGGGTGGGTGTGGGTGTGGGTGTGGGTGTGGGTGTGGGTGTGGGTGTGGGTGTGGGAAGGAGAATGCTGGCTGGAGGAGCTGGAGGATGGAGGTCTCAGGCACCCAGACTGGGAGAGGGACAGGGGGCAGGTATAGGGACAGGTCAGGGGTTTCGGTTTAGATTTGTTGGAATTTGAGGTGACAATTACACATCCAAGAGCTACTGTGTGAAGCAGTGTGTGCACCAGTCTGAGGTCAGGGAAGGGCGAGGCTGGGGCTGTGCAGGCGTGAGGCAGTGGCCTAGCGGTGTTCTCGGTGGTGAGAGGTGATCTGGTACAGTTTCTCTTTCTGGCTCTGGTTCTGCGTCTGCACAGCTAACCTTCTGTCACTAAGAAGGTGGTTTTTCTCTCTCAGGGAAAACCAGGCCTGCTTCTTTCTTCAGCCTTTATTTGGTTTGTTTTATTTCTCATTTACACGAAGAACCTAAATTTTAAAAGTTGGCTATGATATTTAGTGTACTTAAAGCACATTTAAAAAAATATATATTTTATTGATTTTTTTTACAGAGAGGAAGGGAGAGAGATAGAGAGTTAGAAACATCGATGTGAGAGAAACATCCATCAGCTGCCTCCTGCACACCCCCTACTGGGGATGTGCCCGCAACCAAGAATCGAACCCAGGATCAAACCCTTGCCCTTGACCGGAATCGAACCCAGGATCTTTCAGTTCACAGGTTGACGCTTTATCCACTGTGCCAAACCAGTTTCGGCTGTACTTAAGCACATTTTATTTCATAATCTATATTCTAGGTCCCTGTGTGTTTCTAATAGCTTTAACACTATGGCAGTTATTTTTGTGAATGTTTACATTTTAAGTATATCTTTTTTCCTATTGTCTCACAATTTCAAAAATGTTTTTTACATCTTATCTCAAAAATATTTTTTATTCTGACGTTTTCTGAGTTCAGAAGCACAATTTTCAATGAAGAAGTAATTGAAAAAAGATCATTTAGCAGAATATCCATTTTAATTCTAATTTTACTGTAACACAAGTTATTTTCTTCAAAGTAAGGGATAAATATATTGTATTTGTGATTTAAAATTACAGAATAATTGTGTTATTTTTTCAGCTGAAATTGCTAAATACCTGGAAACAGTGAAATTGCTGGATTATGATGAGAAACCCCTATATCAGAATTTACAAGACATTCTTTTGCAAGGTCTTAAGTCAATAGGAAGCAAGGATGATGGCAAACTGGAACTTGGGGCTTTGGAGAATGGAGCTCTGAAAGCAAGAACTACAACCAAGGTGAATTCTGTTTTTTACTATCCTTTGACTTCCCGAGATTGTGATTGCAAATTTAGTAGAATAACTCAGTGAGTAGCTCAGGAAAGAAAATAACAGATTGTTGGTAATTAAATATTTATCTCCATTATCTAAGGGCAAGCTAAGCTCTTTATAATAAAGAAAAATATATAGACGGTTGTAAAAAATGGATATTTATTTACTAGTGGTCCAGTACACGGATTTGTGCATATTGAAAGGAAATTAATTAGAAGAAATGGTTTAATATTGCAGCAATCTAAACTATGCTGATTCCAAAAAGAATCAGGCTCCCTCCTTCCTCTTCTCTTGGTCCGGGGTGCAGGTGAACCAGACTCGGGCCCAACGGGGCCCCAGCATCAAGCTAGCCCATGGCCACCAACCTAACCTACCAGTTGGAGTATCTGCCCCCTGGTGGTCAGTGTGCATTATAGCTATTGGTCAAACGGTTGAATGGTTGCTTAGGTTTTTATATATATAGACTAGAGGCCCAGTGCTTGAATTTGTGCATAGGTGGGGTCCTTCAGTCTGCTCAGCATTCAGGGCTGATTTGGGCTATCTCGCCCAGTCCCAATTGGGCCGATCAGGGCTGGCTGGGGAGGGATTGTGAGAGGTTGGCCGGCCCTGGGAGGTTGGCTGTGGGAGCACACTGACCACCAAGGGGTAGCTCCTGCATTGAATGTCTGCCCCCTGGTTGTTAGTACACGTCCATAGTGACTGATTGACTGGTTGGTCGGTTGTAACAGTCACTTAGGCTGTTATATATATAGATTGTGTACAGTAGCAAGTGATTAAACTTTTTCAAGAGATTCTAGCTTGGGAGAGTGGCACCGGGCAGAGGGATTTTGGTAGGGGCACTCAGCTCAGTTTGTATTGTTGTGTTTTTCCCCACAAGCCAGCCCCTAGGGTTGATCTTGTTTCTCAATTTTTTCTTATTTGTTGGTGTGGCCACAGTATTTATTATTTGAAAATTGGCATTTGAAAAATTACCATTTGAAAGTTTTTGTTTGTTGATATGTTTACCATTTGAATATGATTTTGCTCTTTACTGAAATGCCATTATATAAAGCGGTGTATATGCATATAAGGGGATTACTTTTAAGAGAGAAATGTTAAATAGTGAACTTTATGGGAAAGTATTATGCAGCCATGAAATAACTCCTGACATCACTATAATATTTAGATTTTACAGGTATGCATTAACTTTTTGTTTTATTGATTATTTCTAATAATTGTTGACATTGATTTCTTTTGTAATTTGAAATCATTTAATAAGATGTGTCATCTGCTTTTATATGGAAAAGGAAAACTACTTTCAGAAGAAAGATACTGTTTACATTAGTGACCAGTCTTACTGTCATTAACTCTGAAAGCCCCAGCAGCTTCCTTTGGGAACACGCATTCCAAACTATTGCAGAAAAGGGTTAAAACAAATTATCTCTTTAAAAAAGAAACAGCAAATTAAAAGATTTTTATAATTCTTCCTAGATTGAAATTTTGAAATTGGATCATGAATTTGACTTTTTGGCAAATAGTAGGTCTCTAATTTCATCGCAGAGTCAAAATTATACATTTCATCTCCATGGGCATTTTCCCCTGCAAGTTTTGTGTTAATTGCGTCTGCTCAGTTTTGTGGTCAACAAGTGTGCTGACAGCTACATTCGGCTGTGAGATGAAGGGATGGACTGGGAGCCTGATGGAATTTCAGCGAGGCAGTAACTTACAGTTTGCATACATGGGTAAACACACAGCGTGCCTCCTCGTGTGCCGGACAGATTTCTTTACGTTATATTTATAGCTCGCTTCCAGAGTGTTTTTCCTAAAATTTAGCTGATTGAGAAGTAAAGATCTCTGCTGCAGTGAGAACTCGTCCAGTGCCTTCCCCTTCTTTGCAGATCACTGTTTGGCCCTGTGTGCTGGGGAAATGTGGTTTCTGCAGGTTGGCTGACTTTCCAGCTGAGTAGGTCAGTCTGCTGCAGAGTTAACATCTGTGCCTCATCCCCTGTGTCCTTGGGTAGCTCAGAAGGCTGGGCAGTCCTGTCGGATCATGCCCTACATGCCTGAAGCTTCACGCAGGGGGAATATATGAATACCAAGTTGAGTTGTTAGGTCTCCTTTATTAGTTGATTGCTTCATTTTGTATTTTATTTTATTTTTATCTTCAAGGCTGACACAGGACTATTCTTGGTATTAAAAAGAAAATAATAAAAGCTAGGATTAGTACGATCATGAAGCTGCTTGATAACCATGTAACTTATGTAGATGAGTTACATGTGTTGGCCCTTTGTCTTTTTTGTTTATAAAAGTAAAAAAATTGGACCAGACCAGTTTTTAAAATATATTTTATTGATTTTTTACAGAGAGGAAGAGAGAGGGATAGAGAGTTAGAAACCTCGATGAGAGAGAATCATCGATCAGCCGCCTCTTGCACACCCCCTACCGGGGATGTACCCGCAACCAAGGTATGTGCCCTTGACCGGAATCGAACCCGGGACCCTTCAGCCCGCAGGCTGACGCTCTATCCACTGAGCCAAACCCGTCTCAGCCAGACCAGTTTTTTTTTTTTTTAAGTTTTCTTTTTTTTTCTTCTTCTTCTTCTTTTTTTTTTTTTTTATAAAGTCCTAGAACAGTTTTCCCAAACACATTGTAATGACACCTGTCTAAACTGGCAGGAGCAGCACTGCCCTGGCTGAGGGGCTGGGGCTCCCTGGAGGAATGGCTTCTCTTTGAGAAATTAGAATTCCCTTTCTTTAGCGAGGGGCATGCGAGCAGGATGGCGCTGTCTGCTCTGCTTACCAGGAAGCTCCGAGCTACATAGGATTCTCTGATTATGGAAACTCTAGTGTTAACCTTTATAATTAGCAGGTTCTCTCCCTCCCCTTTTTGTTATAATTTTTTAAGTTTTTTTCAGATATATTATTCAGATAATCCATGTCCAGCTGTAGTTTTGTTTTGGAACTCATTCACTTCTTGAAAATCCATTTTTAGATTTCTAAGGGCTTAGAGGTCATGTGACTTAGCAGTGGAGCCTCAGAACTGAAGTGCCTTGACTCTCTTCATTTCACACTGCTTCCTGCAACTCAGCTGATTTTGTCTGACAGCATTTACGTTTATAAAAATCTTTGCTCATGCCTTACTTTTTATTTTTAGTCTTTTCAGTCTTATTGAGATATAATTGGCATTCAACACTGTGTCAGTTTAAGGGATACAGCATAATGCTTTGGCTTAAATATATTGTGAAATGACTACCACATAAGTTTAGGAAAAAAATATGTGTTCTTTTTATTTCTCAGACTCAATTCTCTTTTGGGGAGGGGCAGGTGTAATAGTTCAGTACGTGCCATTCTCTCTGTTCCTAGCAGATATCCTGTACGGTAACACCTATCAGAATTGATCAACAATGGCACGAAGCGAGGTTTCTAAAACCCAGTTTTTATCTGACACCATCCATAGTCCCTGCAGTATCGCTGACTTCATTCCCCGTGCTGTACTTACCTCCCGTGGCTGCTTTATAACTGGCAATTTGTACTTAGATACGATTAAACTTAAAGGTTTTTGTTTTTGGAAAAAAAAAAACAGACCATAGTCTGTGGACCTTTGGTGCTTCCTGTCCACATGGCATCCATTGTCCGGAAAGCTGGGCAGGAGAAGTCAGCTGAAGGCGGGTGCCTGGAAGTCAGGCCTAACCTGTGCCACTGCCGGACACAGGTGTCTCTCTGGTCCGCTGAATACTGTCTGGTTTTCATTGCCGTGTCATTTACCTGCACGGAGGTGAAGGAAGCTCCTTTTATTAAGCCTGAGAACAAGATGAATCCCTGGGATCCTGGGTGGAATGTATTGGATGGCTCCCTGTGTGATGAGCGTGGAGAAACCTGCCCTCCTAGCCGGCGGAAAGCAATACAGGACTGAAATATTCCTCCTTAATTTTGGTCCGGACGAACCAGAGTGTCTGTGCTTATTCCTGCCTAATGCATCACGAATCTGCTGACATGCTCACCTTGGAGTCCTGGCCGGCGTTAATCAGGCCCGCGCGCCGGAGGAGGAGGCACTAATGCACTCCATCAGGGCCCTTTGCATATGGAAGCCCTCGCAGGGGAGCTGCCGTGCCGGCGAGGGTTACCTGCCCGCCGCCGGGAGCGTATGTAATTATCGAGCAATCTGTTCGGCCCAGCGGGGCCGGCATGGCAACCACGGAGCCACGCTTGGGAAAGGGAGGCCGGAGGCACTGCCCCTCTCATCAGTGCAGGAGCCGCAGCCACCCGGGCAGCTCTTGTTACACAGGGAGCGCTCCTTCCACAGAGCTGCTCAGAGCGCTGCCGCTGCCCTCCCCGAGCTCAGTGCGGGCCCTGGGTGTGTGTGTGTGAAGCCGCATCTCCAGGAGCCCCATCTCCGAGTCCTGATCTTTCCCAGCCGCCTCCGCAGCGCTGGGAGCACTGGGATTAATGGTAACGCGCGGGTAATAGCACTCGGACCGTCGGGAGGGTGCGGTATGTGGTCTGAGCGGTGCTCTGTTCGGAGTGAAGCCACGGCTGCCATTAGGAGGAGAACAATGTGCTGTCAGCAGGTATTACACTCCAGAGCCGCACGCACCATGGCCCGAAGCAAGGAAGCTTCTCAGATGAGGTTCAACGTCATGCTAATTGTTCGGAAATACAAATGAGGACATTCGGATGCGAAGCGAACCTGTGAAACTTGCGAACTATCAGATGATTCCCTCCATGCTACACACTTATTTTAGGCAACCTAGAGAAGCTTTGAGTTTTCATTTGCATTTTAACGCGTTTAATTTTGAGACTACATGGGATAAAGTTATATGCAAAATGCAAAGTTTTCAATTATTTCTCAGGTCCTTCTATAGTTATACTTACATGTAGAGATGTTAGGTGATTTAAAAACTTTACACAGGGATGGACTGGTAGAAATAGTATAGTGTTGGAAAATAATAAGGAGGTGAATGAACAGTTGGGAAGAATGGATGGTGACAGAATATTAACTCTCCTAAGTCACACTCAACTGGGAAAATTAGTAGAAAATAGGAAAGGCCTAAGAGAATGGCGGGAAAACCAACCGTTTCGGAGAGTTGAGGAGACCTGTGTACTTTTAAGATCCTTCCTTACAGTAAGGCTTTTGGCCCTTTTAAACTTTCAATAAAAATATTCCAGAAGGAAACATACCCCCACAGATCACACTGCAAATGGGAGAAGAAATATCACTGGCCTCAGAGAGGGCTGCCGGCAGGTCTGTGAGACCCTGGCTCTAAGAGAGTGTCAGCAGGCCTGGGTAACACGCGGCTCTCCATAGCGAACTGCGTGAAGCGTGAGTCAGAGGGGGTGGCAGCAAGCAGACCCACCTTCCCGGCTAACGGGACAGGTGAGGGCTCTCAGTGCCATTGTCTTTGCCCCCTGCCCCGAGGCCCCGCTACCTGGAAGTGGTGGATAGCAGCTCCCCTCCATAGTTCTCTCTCCTCAGTTCCGTTCCCTGCAGTCAGCCGTGGCCTGAAAGTACTAAATGGAGAAATTCAGAAATAAAGCTCTGAGTAGCATGAGCTATTGCCACCCTTCCCGAAGCGTGAGCCGCCAGTCACCCCGTGGCCCTGTGGGTCATCAGACCAGCTGTCGCAGTGCCAGTGCTGGCTCAGGGCACCCTATTTTACCATGGCCCCGGAACGCCGGAGCGGTGCGGCAGTCGGGTGTGCCAGGAGAAGCCGGCGGGTGCTCGCTGTCAGCGGAAGGCGTGTGTCTGGGGAAACGCGCACACTGCCGGATGCCGCAGGGAAGGGCTCCTGGGTCTGCTCCGTGCATTGTGACAGCACACCTGGTAGTTCATATGCACCCCAACATGCAGTGAGTTTGAGCAGTTCCTTCTTTCACCCTCGGACCACATCTTTCTCTCTTAATTTTCACATGTAAGAAGCGGAAGAAGGAAGCGGGGAAGAGCACAGAGGCCGGTGGTGAGGACATGGAGTGCTCGGATGCGCACACGGGGGAGGCCATGCAGACGCGTAAGTGACGGCCTCGCTGCGCCCTCTCCACGCAAACGAGGTCCCCCCTCCCGCCGGCAGGACTCCGTGTTCAGTCACCACGTCCCCACTTCGTAGTGCAGTGTGGTGGGCGGTCTTCCGCTGCAGCGGGTCACTGGCTTTGCACCCGCAGAGCGGTACTTCCTGTTCACAGTGATCGTGAGTGGGCACCGGGAGCGCCTCTCTTTGCCGCTCTGGAGCCCAACACCCCGAGCGTCAGGTGGCAGAGTTGGGGCGCTTGGCTGCGTGACTCTGGCTTGCACCATCATTTTTCAGAAAGATGGTCCGGCATAAAGTCACCGGGGCCTCACAGACTGCTGCCGGCGGAGCGGGCCCAGAGCAAGGCCATGGCTGCCTGGCCGGGCGGGGGTTCCCTCTGAGGGGCAGGCAGGCCGTGGGGGGCCAGGGAAGGCCCGTGGGGGCCAGGTTCCTTTGACGCTATGCTGGCTACTGCTGCTCTCCTGGCCCCTGGGGCTGGTGTTCCTTGCCCATGGTTTCTTGTGGGAAGGCTGATTTTAGGTCCCTAAGGCGCCAGGCTCTGTTGGGCCCGGTTGGGGTGTGCTACCACCCCCCCCCCTCCCCCGCCTGGCCCAGGCCGCTGCGGAGGCAGCGATGTGACTTGCCAGGAGGGCCACTCTGCCCATCCGTCCACCCCTTCACCGTGTGTTCTGGGAGAGCATCCTGAGGTCTGCCTGGACTTCCTCAGAGAACACGGGTGTCTGGAGAGTGAGTGTCCCTTCCCTCTGGGTGCCCCGGGTCTGAAAATGCCCGTGTCCCCTCTGCGCTGCCCTCCACCCGCTCTCCAGGCCCCTCCTCCCCGCTCACTGTGTGGTTAGGAAGCGCGGAGCCTAGCAGCACACCAGGCCTGTCTTGCAGAGGAGCAGCGGCAGGGAGGGGAGAACGAACCAGCCTTTACAGAGACGGCGCAGTCTGACTCGGAAGCTCCCCTGGGCTCTGCGCCTGCAGTGTCCGTTCGGGGGCCTGCAGTGCGTAAGGGTGACCCCACTGAGGCCCGGGCCTCGGCCGCCCCGCTGCCTGGGGGCCTGGCACCTGGGCTCTGCTGGCTGGGCACCGGAGGGGTTTGTTTTGATACCAAAGAGTTTAAATTGGGCTAGAATTACAAATCAGTTTTTATACTTAAAATTTTAATCAGAGGTCCTTACACTGATACTTTTTACTGTGAGAAAATATATTATTTTTTTTGGTTTATTTAATAATAACAAAAGTTGAGAGTAAATCTCATTGCTAATTCCAGGAGAACAATCCAGCTATCCTTTTGATATAAAAAAGCAGATAAAGAATAATCAGATTCTGCCTTATTTACATAAACTTGGAATTGCTTTACTTAAATGCTTTCTATTTTCCTATTGTAATTCATTTTTTTTCTAAAGTGAAAGGCTAGTTAAGGTATTTTGCTATCTAAATATTCAAAAATAAGAGAAATATCACTTGAGATGGTGAAATATTACTGCTTCTAGCAAAAACAAAACAAAACAAAAAATCCAAAAAAAAAACCCCACAACCAAAAAAACACAAAAAACTAAATGCACAGGAAAATGTATATATATTTGTATTCACCCTTTAAAGAAACTTGAAGAAGGCACATTCATTATTACATTTGACTTTTAAGAAAAGTAATCCAGTTCACTGAATACTGTTTTAGAGCTTTCAGATTTTGTCATAAATGTGTTTGAAGAATGGTTACCTCCAACAGCAGCTTTAGAAATGTCAGTTACTTCATTAACAATTTTATTTTCAAACACAATTTATGGTTTACAATATGGCGAGAGATTTTTCTCACTGTGCGATCTTTCAGAATGCTGTGCCTCGCAAAACGGGAGCAGCTTTCCTTTAATATCTATTTAGACCATTCTAAAACGTGTATAATTTTCTTGATACACCTAAACTCATTTCGGCCGGCTGGGGGTCTATTGTGTGCGAACACATTCTGAAGGCTTTCAAAGTGCGTATTGTGTGGGTTTTCTCAAAAAAGGAGAGGGGGGAACAGGCGATTTTCAAGAAGAACGGAGGCCCTAATCCTTTTATTTTTATGCAAGGCGTAATTTTTACCAATTGAGAACATTTGGTTATTTGCTGCAAGTAATTTCTTTCCTCCACAAAATGGCAAGCCTTATAAAAACCATGTGTATTCTGGCATTTCAAAACCATGCCAGTATTTCAGAATTGGATAACAGTTAGTTAATGGCACCATGATATTTATGGCTAGTGTACTTTGTCCTCCTGTTCCTGGAATGGTCAGCACACAGCAGTAGTCTTGTGGGTGCTTTTTAGCTTCAGTTTTGAAGTGCCTTGCATTTTGGATCATTCTTGAGGATTCTTTGATGAAAACATGATTTATATTTACCTCTTGAATGTCTATATTCTAGTCTAAGAAAGAGGCACTTTTTAAGGGCACCCTACATACATGGACAATTCCCATTTTTTTTTCCTTCTTCATTATTAAAATCATAGGAGGGCATCCCCAGACTTGTATATTTTATTTTTCAAATAGTAAATCTCACACATACTTGTTTTGTGATTAGAATTTTTACCAGTTGTAGCATATTATGAAAACGAGTATATTTTTTAAAGAGATGAGAAATTGACTTTGCAGCAATCAGAATTATTAGGAAACTTGAATTGATACGTGCAGCAAAGTATATAAGTTGCATGTACTGATTTTATAGTAAATTCCAGGTGGTGATGGCATTGAACTTTAAGTCTAGATAGAAGAGGGTGAGCAGCAATGGTGTTTAATTTAAGAGTGGCATGTCAAACTAGAACGTTCGTGGGACAGCACTGCTTGGACACGGCTGTCATCGTGTGAGCTGGCGTGCGCAGCGTGCGGTGCGCAGTGCTGGGAAGGCTGCTGTGCCTGTGCTGACGGCGCCGGGATCTGGGGAGCCCGTTTCACCGGCCCAGAGGTCTCCGTTTTCTGTGCCAAGTTACTGCTGAAATTCTTTTTTTTTTTTTTTTAATTTTTTTTTTTAATATATTGATTTTATACAGAGAGGAAGGGAGAGAGATAGTTGGAAACATCGATGAGAGAGAGTCATCGATCAGCTGCCTCTTGCACACCCCCTACTGGGGATGTGCCCGAAACCAAGGTACATGCCCTTGACCGGAATCGAACCCAGGACCTTTCGGTTCCCAAGCCGATGCTCTATCCATTGAGCCAAACCGGTCCTGGCTGAAATTCTTGAACTATAATCCTAACACCTGTCACAGGGTGCTTTTGAAGGAAGGCTGCATCACAAAAATGGAAGAAAAAACCCCATTCAAACTAGCTAGTTACAGGCTGTGTATTTGAGTGGAGGGAAAGAAAAGATATTCATATATCTTGGAAATTGGCTTTAATTTAGTGATTTTTAACCCTTTCATCTCACAGCACACATTAAACTGATCACTGAGGGTCTGCAGCACACCAGAAGTACATTTTTGATGATCTGGCCAACAATAGGCCTAGTTTTGATTTATTCACACCTGATGGCTGTTGTGGTGGCTGTTGTCAGTGTTCTTATTGACAGTCGAAGGGAAAGAGGCCAGTGCCTGACCAAACAGTCGGATACTGCATGTTTGAACATTCTTGCGGCCCACCAGTTGGAAGTCGCTGATGGAGTTGACTAGAAACTAGAATTTGGAAAAATAAAAGCGCACTAATTTTTAAACCGCTGATTTTCCAGTTGAGGGACTAAATGAATCTGTAGTCAGAAAGCCTTGAGGCCCTATCCACTATTAGTCATGTGTGATAGACACTTTGACTGGGCTCACAGTGTTTGTCCATTTCAGGAAGGAAGGATCGATCTCTTCCTTGGCTGGTGTGGGCAGTGATTGATTGGCAGCCGCCCTCTGCCCTCACCCGGGCCCTTGCTGCTCCCGGCAGAGCGCAGCACCAGGCGTCTAGGCAGCAGCCCAGCCCCGCATGGCCCCTGGCCCTCTGCCCGCCGTGCTCCGGGAAGGTGGCGCGGGGGGCCGGGAGCAGAGCCCTCGGGGAGGCAGCTCCCTGCCCTCGATAGACTCGCTGATCATCGCCCAGGAGCAGGCGGGGGAGCTGTCTTAAGTCCCTTAGCCCAGGGCCAGGTGGTGCTGCTAGAGGCTGCGCAGCAGCCCCCGTTTCGTTCCTGGGGGAGAGCGTGGGGAGCAGGCCCGTGCTCGCTGCCCGGAGAGCACGTAGCAGGTTTCAGAGGCAACACCGTTAGAGTAACCCTTCCTGCTGCTGTTACTGTGCCCAACCCGCCAGTGCCCCACGGAGGGCGTCCCTGTGCTCTCTGCGTTCAGGTCCTGCCGCACACACGGCAGGGAGACGGTTCAGGAAGCGCTGCCGGTGGGACGTGGAGGCAGACTGTTAGCGTGTTGTTGCCATTTTTGGGGCATTAACAGTTACACTTCGTGTATGAATTTCATCTCCACAAATCAGCATGGTCAATAAAATTCAAACTATTAATAACTATGTGTGGAAATACTTCTATTTCTGTTCTTTTGCTCTTGTAAGTGAATGATCACTGTTTTAAATGTCTTTGTCTTCTCTTCAAGGTTCAAAGAGGAGAAAGAGAGTCCAGAAGTAAACCACATGCTGTGAGCCAGTTTTTCTCTTCTTCCTGTCATTTGGCTTTTTCTTCTTTTCTATTTGGCGTGTTTTCATGTGGGTCCGCTGGGTGGGGGTTCCAGGGAAATACCTATGTCTTTGAAAAACAGGTTTTTTATTGAAATAAATGCTTTGTACAATTTATTAAAGGCTAACTTATAAACCTTCAGAATGTTTAGGTTGCATGTGCTCTTTAAGCTGCCCAGCTGCGGGAAAGGGCTGGGCGCTTTGAAGAACTGCTGTGATGTGCACTTTCCGATTGTGTGTCTTTCCCGGAGGGTAAATCTCTGACCGAGCTCTTCCTCTCAAGGAAATGCGAAACTTCAAATAAAGAGATCTTTTGGCTTCAGACAGATTCGGTTCGCTGTGGCCGTGTGTTTGGTTTTCATTGATTTTGTTCAGCCCCACAAGCATGTAAGCACCTGCTGCATGAGGTACGGAGAAGGGGGGGAGTGAAAGAAAAGGTGGGTGTGAGCACATGTGGCTGCAAGCGAGGTTATGTAAGCAGCATGGACGTGGGCAGGCTCTGCGGTCACAGTTTATATAGAGACACTGCCACAAGGCAACCCTGTGAAATACATCTCTAGGGCTTGTCTGTCCGTTGAATGTGTCCATCTCTATATCTGATTGTTCATTCACAGATGATTTTTCTTAAAAGTTTCATTTTTTGGAGCACATAATATTTGTACAGTAAAGCAAACAGTTGAGAGTTTTGATGATTAGAAATTTTTAAGATGTGGACCTTTTACAGTTGCCCTGGAAACAAACACTTGGAATTTAAACATTCATGAACAATTTCAAGGTTTGCTTTGTTAGAGAACCTGGGGCCGGATTGGCGTCGCTGAATGTTGGCACCCGCTAATAGCTGTGTCATGTCCAGGGCTTTCCGATGGCGTAGAGGCACACTTATTTACGTCTTTAAAGCATTTATTTTTAATGCATCTTCAGAATAGAAGTAGCATGTTAGCATGTACTGGCGATTTTCTGTACTGCTTAGGACAAGCCTCAGAGGTTCAGCTTTTTACAAGGGCGCTGATCGGAAGAAAATATTAAATGCAGATGGGATGCCTTCAGCTAAAAATGGTCCAGGTTGTCCCACGTGCGACAGCTCTGGGCCACACAGAGACTGGAACCTGCACTCTCCGGTGCGGACGTCCAGCTGCCCCCGAAGCAGGTGCCCCGAAGCAGGTGCCCGGGCGTGGTCAGACGCTGACGAGTGTGGAACAGATGGCAGACTTCCTGCGCGCTCAGCCTCAGAAGCCGGCGGAGTTGTAGGGCCCTGTGTCTTTCCAGAAGAGGGAACTCGGCTCTGGGCAGAGACTTCTGCTTTCTGGAGAATGTTGGATTTAGTCCTCGCCAGTGCTATGGTCCCAAGTTTATTTGTAACACTTAAATCAAATTCTGTTTCAAACACATTGATGCTTAAAATAGGATCAAATGCGTGTGGTGTGTTTTTGTGTATAAGCCTTAGCCTTTTTTGTTTTTCAAAACACAAAAACACAGCAAAACCTGTTGGTTAAATATTAAGAAAACAAATATTTCCTCACATATTGTTTTTATAAGTGCTGGCATTTTCTCGAATGTTCCTCTGCTGGCAGGGCTGCAGAAGTGGAGAGCTGGTAGCCAGAGTAGCCAGTCTGATTCTGCTGCTGGTTTTCTTTCCCGGCCTTGCGGTGGTTTTTCTTACCTCCCCCACCCCCACCTCCTGGTTAAAAAAAAGGGGGGGTGGTATGGGGAGAGAATCTCCCTGTCATCCGAGTTACGCTTCCGTGTTTTTTGTCTTTTCCAGTTCTGCGTTTACTGTGTGCATCTTGCACTGTTTCTGTTGTCTTTCCAGTCCCGCACGCAGTGGGGCTGCCATTTTTTGTCCACCCCTCACAGTTTGGCTTCCGTATCCACTGTGTGCCGCCTGCGTGGCCACTCTCAGGCCTGTGAGGACCTCACCTGGGCCGGCTCCCGGCCTGCACTCACCAGCCGGCAGCCTGTGCAGCTGCCCGAGCCCTGCAGGAAGGGAGCGTCTGGGTGCTCTCAGGGCCATCCTACCGTTTAGCCCCGTGGTCGGCAAACTCATCAGTCAACAGAGCCAAATACCAACAGGACAATGACTGAAATTTCTTTGAGGGCCAAATTTTTTCAACTTAAACCATATAGGTAGGTACATTGTTATTGACTTAATTAGGGGACTCCCAAGCTGGCCTTTGCTAAAGACTCCAGGGGCCAAAGAGCCGCATGTGGCTCGCGAGCCGCAGTTTGCAGACTACGGGTGTAGGTGCTCTCGGGTCATCCCAGCGCCTAGGTGCTCTGCAGGGTCATCTCTAAGCCAGACCAGCCCGCTGCTTCCTCCGAGTCACTAGTTCACTGCTAGAGAGCTCTGAGCAGCGGGGGCACAGCAGTGCGGAAACAGAAGTAAATTCATGCCTCTGGTGTGCGTCTGATATACAGTTGAGCATTGTCCGCTTGTTTATCCTTTAACCTTCTAGATTTAGTGGCCTTTATTAGTCTGGTTAGCAAGAAGTATTAATAACACACGGTCATTGTAGGAAACTGGGAGCACACAGGAACTGCATAAAGACCAATGAGCCCTGCCAGTGCCGTACCACCCGGCCACCCTGGGGGCGTGGCAGGGCCTTCTAGTCTGTTCAGGCATTTCCACCCTGGAATAATTACCATGCTTGACAGAAGGCTTTATATTCTGCTTTTTAAAGCGAATTTTAAATAGTTTCCATGGTATCACAGATAAGTATAATAAGTGTAGTTTTTTTCTTATGGATTTGTGAAAAAACTGGACAGTTGTGTTGTTTTCAGTGTGGAATAGTATAAGCAATATTCTTCAGTAAGCGTGGGCAGAAATCTTTGCCCACGTGTACAGCATTTCTTTAGATTTCCTGAAGGGAACCGCTTTGCCAAAGACCGGGAGGACGGAAGGAGGCTGCTGAGGCCTGTTATCAAATGGCCTTGAAAAATCCGTCCCGGACCCTTACTGCCAGTACAGCAGCTGTCAGCTCACGGTTCTTCAGCCCGAGGGTTACTGGTTTTCATAATGTGATAACAAATTCTCTTACTGGGCGGCAAACCTGAGCATTTCTTATGTATAATCTGCTCATTCTGTCCTCTCTTTGGAGTGTCTGTATGTTTGTATAGTAATAATCTTAACCCTTTGTCATGCTGTTGCTGACTTTTTCTGTGTTGTTGTGTTTTTTTTTATTGCTGTATTTCCTTATGAAGCTTGATTTTTATGGCTTAATCTATTGATCTTTTTATGGTGAATTCTGCCATTGTTTTAAAATGTTCCCATCTTGAAATCAGATATATTTACCGTAACTTTTTCTAGGTTTTTTGTTTTAACACTTCCAAATTTTTAATCCGTGTGAAATTTGCTTTGGTGTGTCAATGCCATGAGGTAAGACTCAATGGATTTTCTTCCAGATAGCTAACTAGTCGTTTCAGTTCATGTGTTAAATTCTCTTCCCCATCCTGGTTTGGGATGTCTGTTGTGTTTACATATTACGTTCTTACACCATTTCTGGACTCAATGTTCAGTTTCATTGGTCTGTCTTATGCCCACACCACACTGATTTAATTAATGCCATTTAACTTATTCTTGTTTATTGCCTAATATACCTTAACAGAAATCAAAAGGAAAGGAAAATTTACCCACAGTCTCGTCAAAGGTGAAGTCGCAGTCTTGTCCCTCAGCTGTGCTGCTGAGCCTGCCTCACACCTGCTTACACTTCCCATCCACACTGCGCGTGGCCGGCTGTGGGTTTGTGCTTCTCTCAGAGCGCAGGGCGGTGAGGGAGGAGAGGGCCAGTCACGTCCTGAGCTCTCCTGATGGAGGGATGCGCCTTCCAGACCCTCAGGAAGGACCCGTGTGTTTGGGGCATGTTGGTCCCCCCTTCCCCGTCCCGCTCCCCCCAGATGGAAGCTCTGCCCTCATTTAAGTGACGAGCTCCCCGAACTCGGTGCTCCCGTCGAGTCACCCCAGAGACGGACTGTGCGTCCTCCCGGGCAGCGCCTGCCTCAGCAGTCCTCCCCCGCCCTGGGCACACGGGTGAGGCCTCGGATAACAATACGCACTTTATCCACCATTGTAATGTGAAGAAGGAGCATGCAGACATTCTGAGACACACTGAGTCACAGTGGCCTCTCCCTTTCCCGCTTAAAGTTTCTGACCAGAAGCTGCTGTCCCAGGAGCTCCGGTGGCGGTGAGTCCTGCGGGGTGTCGGGAAGGCAGAGGTGGCCGCAGTGCCATCCGCGGTTTCCCCGCTCCGTCCTGGGCGGTCGGAGAAGCCACAGCCACGAGAGCCCGGACGCGGCCAGGGATCCGGCCCTGCTGCTCCCAGCGAGCCCGAGGCACCCAGAACTGTGTGCAGCCAGCAGGTGCCCTAACACCTGGCCGGTCTTCTGGCAGCGAGACGGGGGAGATAGGAGAGCTTTAGGAAAGGGGTTTTCCCCTGGGATTGTGCTCTCCGGGTGGATGGAGGCCCCCAAGCGGCCTGCCTGGAGCTGCGGCTGTGGGTGAACATTAGGAGCAGCGGGACCCGCATCCCGGAGCCACTGGAGCAGCACCACCAAGACAAGTGCCCTCCCCGGCGCCGGCGCACTGCGCTCCCCGCTGTTTCTGATCTGCGCGCAGCCGTGCGCACGCCGGACTGACGTTCCCCGCGCGGCGGGGGCCCTGGCGGGTGGTGAAGACGCCCGCCCCGATGCCCACGGCCACCGCACAGCCACATGTCTGTGCCGCGGCCCAGAGCCGCTGTCCAGCACGCACCGCTGGCCTCAGACCTGCCCGCCTGCAGGAGGTCCGCTCTGTGCCGAGGCTCTTCCCTCCCAGCAGCTTCCCGAGGGTCTGTGCCGCCGCCGCCTCCATCCCCGCTGGACTCCGCAGGAGCGGGCCGCGGGGCAGGCATGCATCCCCTGCAGTGCGTGCAGACACAGCCGGGGGTGGCCGCGGGCAGGCATGCATCCCCTGCAGTGCGT